GGCTGGAACATGCAGCTGTCTGGATGGTAAGCTCTCAGCACCAGTAAAGAATTAAAGAGGCAGAGTTTAAAATAAAGGAAGATGGGCTGGGGATTTAGCTCAGTGGTTCTGCCACCTGTTCTGCAAGCACAAGGACCCGAGTTTGATATCCTGTACCCCCCCAAAAGAAAAGAAAATAAAGGAAGATGATTTGTTTGGAAAATGGCGGAAAAAGAGAAGATAGACAGTTAGTTACTCTGGAAGGGTAAGGGGACTCAGAAAGGCGAATTATCCTGTCAGGTAAAAGGCTGAAAACCAAGATCAGACAAGGTCACAACAAGCCTTATTGTAGGGACAATGTGCTGGGTTGTCTCTGAACAAAAGAGAGACAAAAGCAATATGGCCAGGACAGGAAGTGCCTTTTATAGGAGCAGGGGTGGGGCTTTGTAGGAGCTGAGGTGGGGTTGAGTGAGGTAGTGGCTGGGGACTGGAGGAGCCTGTGATGTCACTAGTTGCTAGGAGGAGAGCAAGTATTAGGTTACTCTTTTGGTGGGAGTAGGGGCATGTTGGAAAGACAGTAGCTATTATATACAGCAGCCACCGTAAACTGGATAGAAATCTATCATACCTTCCACCCTCAGCCCTGGTCCCTGGCTACTTTTACTTAGGACTAGTAATTCTTCCCATCCCCCATGTGGGCACCTGGACATTGTCGTCATCTGATTGGTCGTCATCTGATTGGTTCTCTGGCTGTCTTTGACCCTAAGCTCTGGGGACCTCTGTCTGTATTCTTTCCTGTCCCTTTGTGATGGTTAAGTGTGTGTGTGTGTGTGTGTGTGTGTGTGTGTAGGGGCTTTATAGAAAGGTAGAGTTAATGATTAAGTAAAGGGGACATGTGTGTATCTGGTGTAATAATATAGTGATGCTAAAGTGAGAACATGCATACATGTGTAGAAGTATAGGTATGTGTGTCTTTTACATATTAAATAAGTCTTTAGGTGGCTGGCCCTTGTCTCCTTTGCATTTTATCAGAGGTGGGTGAGAGGGGCTGGACTTTGATGTTTTGTTAATTCTTTCTGATAAATTCTATGGTAATTGCATTACTTAGTGCCCTTCTGGGTCTGATTTCTTGCTCATTTGTTTTTCTAATTGCTCTAACTGCAGAGTCTAACTGTAGAGGCAAAAGCTGCTTTTGGTAAGATTCTCTAGTAATTTGGTTTTTTTTTGGTACCAGGGATCGAACTCTGGTCCTTGTGTTTTTGAGGCAAGCGGCGGAATCACTGAGCTAAATCCCCGGCCCCTCCCTATTAATTTTTAATAAAGCCTATCCTTTCCCTGCCTAGGCCACTTTTCACTACAATGTAATAATTTAAAGGCAAAAGCATTGGGAGAGATCAGGTTTTATTTTTATTTTTATTTATTTATTTTTTGGTACCGGGGATCAAACTTGGTTCCTTGTGCTTGCGCAGCAGGCGGCAAAACCACTGAGCTAAATCCCCACCCCGAGAACAGGTTTTAAATATCAAAGTATTTTTTCTCATGACAAATTCTCAAAGCTGTTTTGTCACAAACCAGATGTTTACTTTTCAAAAAAGGAAACTTGGCGGTGTTTAAAATCTAGAAACACCATCTTGCAGTTTCACTTATATTGCTTTAGTTGCTTAGTATTTAAGCTTTGTTCCCTTTGTTCTATCTTTTGTCTGTACTTCAGATCTCCATAAGCCTATTTCATTTTGTAGACTTGAATAATAAAAATCATTTCTCATCCTAAATATGCTCAGAGTTAAATGTTAAAGAATGTTGTGCAACATCCAATAAAGTCTTTAATTTAAAAAAGTATGAAAAGAAAGAAAACAAAAACACATGCATAACAATTGTGGTCTTGGCCATAAATGCATCTCAGCAGCAGCAGCCCCTTTTGATGGTGTTCTTACTTCCCAGATGGGTGACACAGAAACACACTACAAAGGTCCAAGGATGTGGTCACTAAGAGGGCAACACAGCCAGGCTGGCTCTGCTCCCTCTCCACATCTTCAGCCTACTAAGCCTGGAGCTTCTAAAGCTAATCTCTCCACTGGCTGAGTCATGTCCACCTGGGTAGAGTCCCATACAATCCATGTTATCTGAATTCTGAGATGCCGCCGAGTCTGACCTCTGGTTCCTCAAGTGATTCTAGACCAGCATGCAGTCAGCGTGCTCCTGGCCACAAACGTGCAGGCTGATCTTCACTTTCTAGGGTTGCCTGCATGGGTAGAACCTGCTGCTGATTTGAACTACCTCTTGGCCTGATGGCCCCAAACCATGACAGCCCCTCTTCCCTTTAGACATCAGCTGGCTGAAAGCCAGGGCTCACACAGGGCTTCCCACCCTGTGGGCCACATCATATCTGGAGACTTGAGTCAGTTTCTATTGCTTCAAGACCCGTGGGACATCAGGAAAGCCAATATGGTGGCCAGCAGCCATCAATCAACTCTTTCCTCCTGTTTGCTTTATCATTATTACCAGTTTCTCTGTCTTCTGTAAGTTGGGAAATCTTGTATAAGAACAATTACTCTCAAGCTTCTTTGTTTGTTTTTTGGCACCGGGGATCAAACTCGTCCTTGCGCTTTTGAGGCAGGCGGCAGAACCACTGAGCTAAATTCCCGGCCCCTCAAGCTTCTTTGGCCTGGGTCACCTTAATATACTTTAAACTACTGAGAAGCACAAAGAACCTTTGTTTATGTGTGTTATATCCCATGGTGTGTTGGTGTCAGCTTGTACTTACACAAATTCAGTGTCCATGAATTTTTCAAGCCAACGGTTAAACTGTTAGAATCTTGAAATTGGCAATGTAAGGAGTATTTACACCACTGAAATTGGTGAATGCTACAAATCAGGGCTTTTTCTGGTGCCCCAACTTACCAGGATACCACTGATTTTATCTAACAACATTTTCCGTATTTGACACTAAAATGGAGAAGTTTGGAAAATATTTTAGCTTAAAACAATAAATTCCTTACTTTTGACAAATACTGTATTTTCTTAAATATAATTTATTCCCCAAACCATGATTTAATAAGGAGTTGCAGTGTTTACATTTTTGCACTCTTTAAAATAAATTTTCCTGTCTGCTTCTGTATTCACCTGGTTGTACTATCACGTCAAGTAGTTTCTGGAAAATTCAACCATTCACTTGTGAAAACATCAGACTAAAAGAGACAAGTAGCATCTTCATGTTTCAAGTTGGTTTTAAACTCTCACAGATGTCCCAAGTGGGTCTCAGAGTTTTGCATTGGGTCATCTCTCTCTCCATTTTTCTTTTTTTTTTGGTACTGGGGATTGTATTTCTCCTCTTCCTCAGATGTAGTTCACTCAATTCCAAGCCATCCTAAGGCATAATTAGCATTATCCTGTGGTTAGTTTCTCACCAGGTACATATTAATCTAGTAATCAGAAAGGCCTGGCCACACAACATTCTAATAACTTCAGGAAATTACTGTTGGTGGTAATGTTTTTTCTGTAACTATCATTATTGCTCCAGGGTAAAGGTAAACTGCTCTCAGAAGCCCTGGCCTCAGAAATTCATGAAGCTGGTCATAAACATTGCTTAACATTTTCCACTTGCTCTGAAACTCAGGGATTCCTCCAGGATGTGCTGCCAGCTTTCCTAATTTCTTAAATTTGGAAATATAACTTAAAAGTTTCCAACTGTATATTTGACAGCCATATATTCCATTTCCCCAAAACAGCTATTTTTGACTTGGTGCGGAAAAACCCAAACATTTTTTTTTTTTGGTTTGTTTGTTTGGTTTTTGTTTTGGTACCGGGGATCCAAGTCAGGACCTTGTGCTTGTGAGGCAGGCGCTGGAACCACTGAGCTAAATCCCCAGCCCCTAAACATTTTTGTTTTAATAAAATTCAAGTGTGTTTTTCAACTCAACTATAATTTGAAAAATAATAGTAGAAGACTTTAAAGGTTACTTTTTGGCTGGAGAGAGGATTCTGTTTCTTCTTTCTTTTTTCTTTTTTTGGTACTGGGGATCCAACTCGGGACCTTGCGCTTTCTAGGCAGGTGCTGAAACCACTGAGCTAAATCCCCAGCCTGAGAGGATTCTGTTTCTGGTGGTCATGAGCAGAAATCTGACTTCATTTAATTTATCTATGGCCTCAGAAACTTGAAAAGCTTGTGTTAAATTTAAGAATTTTCTGTTATCAAAATTCTTGTTTAGCTAAAATAATTTCTCCATTGACTATGAATCCAGAATTTTTTCTTTTTTTTTTTTCTGGTGGTACTGGAGCTACATTTTTAAACTTTAACTTTTTTCTTTTTGAATCAGGGACTTGCCCAGTAACTTTTGGATCCTCCTGCCTCAGCCTTCCAGGGTGGTGGGATTACAGATGTGCATTAGCTATCAAGTCTAGAAATACTTGACTGAAAACTTTTTATTGATTTTCAGTTCTCAGAGGTTGAGCCATCTTGCTTTCAATTTCCCCTGCTCCCCTCTGCTGAGGGCATGCTAGATGACAAAGGATTGTCCCACACACACAGGAGGCAGGGCAGCTCTTCTATGTGTTTCCTCCCTGTTCTTATATTTAATTTCTTTCTCTCTCACTAGAAAAAAATGATAGTTATAAAAGCCAGGAATCTGAATATATGTTCAATGTTATAAGCCTAAATTTTCCTGAAGAGGGCTAAAAAAACCCAAACAAAACTAATCACTCAATGCCTTTACTGTGCTGTATTTTTTTAAAATCTCGATTTATTCTACCAGATCTATTCTTCATGCCTAAGGAAGCAGACCTGTATGAAGTGTGTTCCCGTGGCCTCTGGCTTGGGGGAGGCACCAGCCAGAGACCGGAGGGCAGTGCCAAGGTCAGCGTGTTCCTCCCTCCAACCTTCTGGGTCTGGGTGGTAAGAGGCCCCAGAAATGCCTTCTGTGACTTCACCAGTCCTGTGGTTCCCTGAAGGCTCCAGAGACCTCTGCAGATCACCCAGTCACCAAATGTTCTGCAGCTATACGTGAAAGTGTGTAAAAGTGTGCTCAAAGGATATAAAGATAATTTATTCCAGAGAGATACCAAGTGCGTTTTCATGTTTATTAATATAGGTTACATGATATTTTTAAAAAGAGTGAATATAAAAACTGAAATTATATTTTATAAGTACTGTGATGATAGGTGTTTTAATATATACAGACTAAACAATGACAGTAAATCTCTGATTTAGATAATATAGTAACTCAGTTAATAAAATCAGTACTAGCTTCTACTCACAATAGTTATATTATTCTTATGTAAATTATTCTGATATTTGGAAATACTTTGCTCTTTTATTTATTTATTTATTTATTTTTTGGTACCGGGGATCGAACTTGGGTCCTTGCGCTTGCAAGGCAGGCAGCAGAACCACTGAGCTAAATCCCCAGCCCTTTGCTCTTTTAAATAGATAAACGTTTGCCTTGCAACTTCCCCACTTTCTTGCTTTTATTTTTGGTTGTTTAAAATACCATCACTTTTTAATCAGGAAAAAAAAAGATTTCAACCTAATTTTCAAATTACTTTGCCAAACCTATGAAGATTTTCTATGTGTAATACTTAACTTAGGGTTAAAAAATGCTTTAAAAATCATTTCATTAACTTTAAAGGAAAGTGAAAAATACAGAATTTTCCTAGATTTCAATGACAAATCCATTTTCTTCTGTTATTTCTAATCAGCCTGACATAAATGAGTCTTAAAAGAAAACTTGAGTAACTTATTGAACAAAACATTTATAAATAAATACTGTCCAGTTGATGTAGACTGAAGGACTTATTTTTTAAAAATACACATCCTCTGTTGTTTTCATTTTAAGTAATAACCATTGGAAGCAGAAACCCAAAGGTTCAAAGCTCTTTAGTGGACAGATCTTGCTTATGTGAATACCCTGGGTGACATCTGGCTTGAAACACTGCTTCGTGTTTAGTACAATACATCGAGCGCTATCCCTGTATCGTCCCCTCTGCTCTGCCGAGGGCAGGGTTCAGTCCCATTCCACTCTGCAGGCCCTGAACCCATTGGGGACACCTGCAGGACAGGAATACGCCTTCCTCTCTGTTCCCAAGATAGGCAAAGAAGTCTCTCATGGCTGTTGCCTCCTGGACGTCACATTCTGTGTTGCCAGTTTCTAACAGACATGATCAGGTCACCACAAGCCATCACAGGGAGCCCAGATGATGGCGCCAGCTTGATGGCCTGGTCTCGCTGGTTCCCAGGAGGCTCAGCAGGACACCTCTGTCTTGGATCCGCTGTCTGGAGTCCTCATGTCCAGCTCTCAAGGTGGGTTGCTCTGAAAGGCAGTCTGCGGTCACTAGTGGGGTCCTGCTCGGTCTCAGTTCATGTATACAGTATGTAAAACATCACACTGCTGACCATAGCAAATGGGCTTTTCATTTGTTTTGACAATTTTCAAAATTGAAACTTTGATATGTTTAAAATGCGAAACACTAGAACTTTTTCTACACACAGATACTACCAAATTTCATCCTTCCATTAGTGAAACATTGCTGTCAAACAATTTCAAAATATATTTATTTGCAAAATAAGTGACATATATATGTATGCCATCATGTGTAAGTCATGGAATCTGTCACTGCTGTTGGACATCTTCAGATGTTCAGGGCTAAACTTCACCAACCTAGACTTTGCATATAAAGTCAGAGAATCAGAGATTTTTTTCTATAATTTCCAGGGGAAAAAAGAGAGGGTCTCAAAGTGCCTAATCTATACTGTGCTGCAGATAATACACGTGTGTGTATACACACACACACACACACATATATATGTCACCTGTATCTATATATAAAAAGTGACATTCAGTTATTGTAGCACTGGCAATCCTTCCCTGGAATACCACTGTTTTCCATTCCTATAATTTTTTCTGGTAATTAACCAATATTTGTGCTCTCCTAAGAAGTAGGCATGCAAATCATACATTTGTTATTTTAGATGATGAAGTAGTTTTGCCAGAGACAAACAGAATCCCTGTACTTTTCACTTTTTTAACCTTTCTTTTTAATGGACCAGCAGTCACTTTTCCTAAGTTAACAGCTTTTTGTAGATACTATTATTCATGTTAGTAGAGCTGGTATCCATCTTACTTGCCATCAACTGACCGCTGCTGTTGTAACTATTGGGATCTACATTTTCTTTGCAACACAAGATACTGTAGAGGTGCCGCTGGCACTCGGAGGAGGCATAATAGTAGATCAAGGGGTCGATGCAACAGCTCATGCTGCTGATGCAAACGCAGATGAGGTAAGCAAAGTAGGCGGCCTCGGTGGCAGGACTGTGGGACAGGAACAAGTAATGCGTAATCAGGAGGACATTCGTTGGCCCAAAGCAGATGAGGAAGATGCAGAAGACAGTTGCTGATAGGAACACAGCCCGAGACTTGTTGTGCTGACTGGCAACAGTGGAAGAGCTAAGACATCGGATGACAGACGCGTAGCAAATGGTGGAAATGACCAGGGGCACGAAAAAGAAGACTGCGGAGAAGGCCGAGAAGTAGTAGGAGTAAAAGCCCTCAAGCAGTGTTTCATTGAGAACATCGTGGCAAGTGGTGATGTTGAGCCCTGGGACCTGGGCGGTCTGCTCTCTGAGGAGAAGCGGCAGCACCCCAGCGATGGCCATCACCCAGATGGCCAGGCTGGTGAAGGAGGCCCTCCCCATGGTGCGCCAGGACAGGGCCTGGATGGGGTACACCACAGCCAGGAAGCGGTCCACGCTGATGGCCGTCATGAGCATGATGGAGGCATACATGTTACAGTAGAAGGCCGCGGTGATGAAGCGACACATCTCAGAGCCGAACTTCCAGTCGCTGCCAGAAAAGTAATAGCTGATCTTAAAGGGCAGCACGGACACAAAGAGCACATCCGCTGTGGCCAGATGTAACATATAGACCACGGCCGGCTTCTTGACCTTCATCTTCAGAACGAACACAGCGATGGCCAGGAGGTTCAGGGGGAGGCTGATAAGGACCACACAGGTGTAGACAGAGGGGACAAAGATGGTCAGCCAGGAGCTGGTCAGGTAGCTGGAAGCATCTTTTGAGATGAACACCGGGGGTGGCTTCTGGAGAGGTCTGCTCTTGTTGAAGGAGAGGCTTCTGATTTCCGTCAATGTGCTTTCGTTTCTCTCCTCTTCCTCCCCCATAGGGAACTGTTCAAATACATCATTGGAATTCCTGAGAAGGAATGACCGGGGATTCAAGGTGGGATTTGTTGCTTTGGACTCTGGAAAATTAAAATTTAAAAAAACATATGATTTAAAAAGGCAAAAGAGGGCCGGGGATTTAGCTCAGTGGTTTTGCCCCTGCTGCGCAAGCGCAAGGACCCGAGTTCAATCCCCGGTACCAAAAAAAAAAAAAAAAAAAAAAAGGCAAAAGAGACATGTAGAAGGTATATTTTTACTTCTGCTTGTTTCTCATTTTCTTCACAGGGGAATGGTTGGAGAAACCCAGATCACACATGGACAGACTGCAGAGAATAAGCTAACCCAGGACACTGTGAAATACTGTTTTGATACAAGCAGAAACTTTTAAACTTGCTCGTCCAAGGGACAAAAGTGAGCAATATACTTTCAGAGGTCTGCCCAGTGGATGACAGGAAAGGCTCAGTGACAACAGGAAGGAATAAACAAGGCTTTCTCTTTCCGTCCCACCCTGTCGGTGTACACAAACCACACCTCTCCACCAGGTGCCTCCACACACACGCTTCTGCCAGTTAATTTGTGCCATCCTGTGAAATCCATCCCTCCCCATAAGAAAATCCACACAGAAAGTGAAACAGAGCTCTTAAAGGCTCTTGAGCATGTGGCACCTTCAAGTAAGATCCAGGCCTCCCAATTCAATGAACCTTGTCTCTGTCAGTTTTCCTCTACCATCTTTAGTTTACATGTTTAGAGTACAAGTCCCAAGTCTACATATCTGAGTGTGAACCAGTGCCTCTGGTTACCTCCTGATAGAATCACAAGGTACCTATCATCTCAGTCTTCTTGCTGCCTGCTTTCTGAGCAGGATGGCACATGCTCTTGACCACTAACACCAGGCTGATGGCCTTGGCTTTGTTCTAGAATGCGCCCTGGCTTATCTCAAGGCACACGTCAGCCCAACCAGGCTCTGTGAAGCATCAATCAGATTCAAGATAAAGGTTCAGCTATACACTTCTTCCTTTTATTATCCACTTCCATCAAAAAGAAATCCATTTGAAATGTAAATCAGATAAAAAGCAACATTTAGCAGCAGGAATTCAATCATCTTTTCCTTCTAAGGAGTTCTGCTAAAATCCTGCCATTGAGGATAAGAGATGGGGACATAGAGTCTTTATTGGGTCTTGGAAAGATGAGTCAAGAAGAAAAGAAACTACTTAGAAAAAAGACGAGGTGTCTGATAAGGAGAATGCTCACAACAAAGGCTGGATATTCGGGTCTCAGAGTGCTGTCAGAGGATTTTAAAACTTGGCCGGGAGCTGGACAAGTATAATGGATTTTTGAACTTTTGGTTGTTTTTCAGGAGTAGAATCCTTCCTGCAAAGAACTTAAAACAGAGAGATGTATTGCTACAAAAGGAAAGGTTCTTCTCCCAGTACCTGACCAGCCATCCCTTAGATAAAAGTGACAAACTGGGTATACTGGCCGGACAGCTGTCCATCCACGCCCAGGAGGCATCTAGGTTCACAGGATGGAAGAAGGGGAGGGCTGTAGAGAGGAGGGGTGAATCCTGGAAAAAAGGATGACACTAGATTCTTGTTTTCGGTGGCTTTTGGCTTCAAAGTGGCAGAAGTCAGTCTGTGATATTGTGAAAAACATATTTGGTCATGTTCTTATTTTCTGGCATATAGGTCCTAAAATTCTTGGAATCTCTAGAGTGAAAAGAATTTCTTTTGTACGCTCATGAGCTAACTAGGGGTTAGTGGTCCCTCCATAGCTCCAGGATGGGAGCTGCTCACAGGAAAGACCAAGGAGAGATTAGAGAGAGAGGGTACGGGGCACCACACCCCTTCCCACATGTCTTGTCCTATGCACCTCTCCCATCCTGGTGTTCACAAGTATCTTTGTGATTCCCTTTAGACAACTGGGAAAGCATAAGTAAAGTGTTTCCCTGATTCTGTGAGGTGCTGTAGCAAAACAGACTCAGAGGAGAAAGCCCTGGAGGCCTGTAGTACACAGCCGGTTGGTCGGAATTTCTGGAGGGCCAGACTGAAGTGGAAAATGGTCTCATAGAACGGAACCCTTTGCCTGTGCAATCTGATTCTACCTCAAGCAGACAGTGTCAGGATTGAGTTAATTTTGAGGATACTTAGCTGGTGTCTGCTGGAGAACTGATTGCATGGGGTATAGGACAATTCCTCCACATAGCAGGTGTCAGTGTTGTGTAGGAGAGGAGAGAAGTTTTCCCTTTATCAGAATAGTGCCATAAAAGTTGACTAAAACTCAGACAGAAAAAGAACAGCCTATATGACCCAAAGAATGAGAAGACAAAGTTCTGTGAGCCACTCTAACAAATTAATTGAGTTTAAGGAGGAGGCCATGGGAACCCTCAATATGTAGCCAGCTGGTCAGAAGCTCCTACTCATTGGAAAGTTAGGAGACCAGAAGCCAGATGTTGTGGCACACACCTGTAATCCTAGCACTTGGGAGGTTGAGGCAGGAGGATTGCTGTGAGTTTGAGGGCAGCCTGGAATATAGAATGAGACCCTGTCTCAAAAAGAAACACAACACCACACACACACACACACACACACACACACACTCACTCACACACACAAAGTTTGAAGACCAGAAAAGAAAAAGCCAGAGATAGGAAGCCCTAAATCCCAGTGTAAATTCTGCCTTAGAGTTTGGCTTACCCTTAAACCATGCCTGTACAGATCAGAGGCAAAGAACCTCTACTAAGGAGAAAAGAACTGGGGTGATATTAGAGCTTTGCTCAAGAGAGCTTGCAGTTTGGGTCTAGCCAAATTAACTGACTACTAAGGCAGCTAATACTCCCTGAAGGAATATAACAAGACCCAGAGTCTTTGTAGCGCAACAATGTCCAGGGTACAATCCAAAACCATTCAGTATAAGGAAAATTGGAAGGTTTTACCAGATCTAACCACCTTTTAAATGAAAATGTTGAACTCTGGACCCCCCCTCAACTCACACCATATACAAAACTCAACTCAAAATGACCCAGAACTATTTTAGAAAGGACTAGAAGAGAACACAGCAGAAAAGCTCAATGACATTGTTCTGGGAATGAGTTTTTAGCTATGACCCTAAAAGCACAGACAACAAGAGCAGAAATAGACCAATGGGATCGCATTAAGCTAAAGCTTCTACATAGCCAAAACAACTATCAACAGCAAAGAAGACAATCTACAGAATGGAAAGGAAATATTAAAAAATCATATTCCTGATATCTAATATCCAAATCTAATACCCAAAACACATAAGGGTCTCAAGTCACTCAACAGTAAGGGAACAACCCAATTTCAGAATGAGAAAAGGAACTAAACAGACATTTCTCCAAAGATAGCGTATACAGACAGGGCCAACAGGTATATGAAAAAATATTTAGCATCACTAGTCATCAAGGAAGTGCAAAGTAAAACCACAATGAGACTGCCTCGCAAGCGCAAGGACCCGAGTTTGATTCCCTGGTACCAAAAACAAAAAAGACACAATGAGAGACTTCACATGTACTTTAGACCTGTCATGAGTAAATGAGGATAACGGGCATAGGCAAGGATGTGAACCAAAGGAAACAAGTGAATAACTCTACACTACTGGTAGGTGTTAGGGTAAACTGAGGTGCAACCAAGACCACTGAGTCAGACGAAGTTAAAGCAACAAGCAGAGTTTCTTTTATCCAAGGTGCAGGTGGGCCAAGAATGCAAAGATCCTTGGCCCCCAGGGCAGGCAAGAGGAGGTTCTTATAAGGTGGTTTAGGGAGGGGGAGGGAGGTCATGGGGGAAGAGTGGAAATTTCTGAAACTTGAGGGGAAGGTTGAGACTAGGGGAGGGGGAAGTTGAGAGGGGATGGGGAGGTTGAGACTTGGGGAGGGAGAGGTCTGCTGGGAAACAGGATGTCTTTTGTGGCTGCTGGGCATCTGGGCTTGCAGGTGTTTCTGGGTGTGCTGGGTACATGTTTTTTATTCTTCTGAAGCTGTGTTTTGGCTTTCTGTTACTGTACATTTTTTTGTAGGTGTGAAGAGCTCAGTGAACAGCTGCTATGAGATGTTTTTTTGTTCTGCCTGGGTAGGGTGGGGTGGGGGGCAGACAGGAATGTAAATTAGCACAGCCATTTGGAAAACAGTATGAGGTTTCTCAAAAAATTAAAAAATAGAACTACCATGATTCAGCAATGCTACTACTGGGGATGTATCCAAAGAAAATGAAGTCAGTGTGTCCAAGAGACATTTGCACATTCATGTTCATGCCCATGTTGCAAACCCATTATTCACAGCAGAAGAGACACAGAGTCAGCCTCGTGTTCACCAACAGAAGAATGGATAAAGACAGTGTGATGCACCTAATCAGGAGCATACTAACAGGCCTTTAAGGAGACTGTGTCATTTGCTACCACATGGATGAAGCTGGAGGACACTGTGTTAAGTGAAATAAACTAGGCACAAAAAGACAAATACTGCCTGATCTGACTCAGGATGTGGGATCTAAAAAGGTTAAACTCATAGAGCAGAGGAGGATGGTGCTTCCCAGGGGCCCAGGGATGGGGTGGGGGATCAGATGGGGTTGAGGAGTCAGTGAGCAAAGGTACAAAATTTTAAGCAGGGCACGGTGGCTTGTGCCTGTAATTCCAAACTCTGGGAGGCTGAGGCAGGAAGATCACAAATTCAAGCCCAGCCTGGGCAACTTAGTGACTTAGCTAGATCCTGTCTCAAAATAAAAAAAAATTTTAAAAGGTTTGGGTTGGGGATGTAGCAAAAAAAAGTTACACAATTTCAGTTAGGAAGAACAAGTTCAAGAAGTCTATTGTACAGCACAGTGACTGTAGTTACTAACAATGAATTGTACACAGGAAAATTACTAAAAGAATAGATTTTAATTGTCCTCACTCCCCCAAATTGATAAGTATGTCATGTGATGCTTATAGTAATTAGCTTGATTTAGTCATTCTACAATGTGTACATTTTTCAAAATATCATGTGGTATACAATATATAACTTTTTGACAAGGAAAAAAAGAATCAGTAAAGTGTGACTCATTCTTAAGTAAAAAAAAAGACAATCAAC